TGTTCTGTGTGGGACTTTAACACCCTTCTCACGACCAGACACTTCATCCGGATCGTGCCGTCATTCATTTTTCATTAGATCATCATTCTCATTTTCTTTATAATCATCATCATTTTGCATAAGGAGCTCCACATATGGTTTTGGATTGGTGCTCTCATACCATGTTAAGGCTGAAGATTTCTTCTTAAAAGGTCAATCTGATAGGAGTAGCCCAAATGTTCATATAACAATTTATTACTTCACATTTTTTCGGTGCCACACTTCAACTCATATCTATTAGTAAGTATAATTGTGTTGAAATATACATCATAGTGAGTATGAAACACTGTTTGTAGTCAACACACTTTTATCCACATATTCTATTTTAGTACTACCCCGTCCCACTAAGATTGGGACAAGAGAAGGTGGCACAATTATTAAGAAAAATGGGTTTGTGTGGTTGATATTAAATTGATAAAGTAAGAATAATTTACAACCACACAAACTTTACCAAATTTGGTATGAGACAATCTTAGTGGAATTTACCGAAAAAGTAAAATGAGACGATCTTAGCGTGGGGTTGGGTTGGATGTGAAAGATATCCAAGTGCTGGTGAACTTTGACTTCTCGATGGGAATAGAAGATTATGTTCATAGAATTGGCAGAACAAGACGGGCTGGTGCCAGGCATTCACTTTATTCAGTGACAAGGATGCAAAACATGCATCAGCTCTTGTCAAAGTACTCACTGGGGCTAACCAAAATGTCCATGCTGAAATTCATAATATGGCATCACGGGGTGGCAATGGAATGGGCAGGAAATGGGGTTCTTCTCGCCCTAATCAACGTGGAGGTCGCTGGGGTGGTGGTGGTGGACGAGACACTGGATTTGGAAAAGGAGGTTATGGTGGTGCAAGGCGCAGTAGAAGCCCGTCTAGAAGTTTCGTGTGATTTGTTAGAGTACAAGCTGGTTATGAAGAATTCAAGCCATACCCGTGAACATCTCGATCGTTACCTTCTGTTGTAATCTGTATTATTTGGCCGTATGAGGCTAGTGAGTTTGGTTTCGTGATGCCGGTGGATTGATATTGTGATAAGTAGTTTGTGGACTTATTTACAACCATTAAATTTCTTAGTTTTGGATTATTGTTTATGTTAGTACACATTTTTTTCTATGGACAAACCTCAGATTCTTTGGATCCTAAAAAAGAAAATCTTAACGGGACGAAAGGAGTAATATTTTAAAAAACAACTCATATTATTGTTCCTTTTCACGTGTCCAACATTTTACACAAAATTAGTTGATATTTAATCGCTTTTTCATATCACTTGGAATAAAGTTGTTTGGTTTCGATTATATTGATAATTTTTATTCTAATTTAAATCATATCATATTAAAAATAAAGATCGAGATATATAAATGATAGAGATAACTATTGATAAAGTATTAACTCCTAGATAGAAGGGAGAGCTAGAAAGAGAAGTGATATGTATAAATGAATTTCCAACCCTTTACATGGCTCCCAATAGGAGTATTTATAGGGAAAATATGGGCTGGCCTCCCAAGTCTTGGGCTTGGGATGCCCATTACAATAAAAGACCTGTATTGCGCTAAGTACATTCGAATATATTAGCTAAGTATGGAAGTCTGGCTCTGTGAGCTCTTTGTGGTCGACGGAGGTCTGGCCGACAGAGGCACTGACCGACGGAGGCACTGACCGACGGAGGCACTGGCCGACGGAGGACAAGTCTTCTCCTTGGCTTCTGGAGCGTATTCTAAATTGACTCTTCTTTGGCCGATGGGGTGCCATCTGACCGACGGAGGGCCCACTGGATGACAGTTGTGCTCCTCTTAGTCTTCTGAGTATGTGGCTCATGGGGTTTGGATCCATATACTCCATCAACTACTTTATGTATAACTTGAAGTCCTTCAATTTCTCAATCTATGACGATACTAGTTTTTGTTCTAACAAAATAATTAAACTCGTACTATTTAATCAAGTATTATAAGTAAATATTTTTATGGACTAATATGCATTTAGGTTATTATTATAAGGAAAAATTCTCGAAATATGACTAAAAAAATATGAGAATTCTAAAATATGACTGTCATATTTTTTTCCCTAAATAAGAGTAATTACTGCCAAGTTGAGAAAATATTGTCATATTGGTATTCTGGTACTGCCAAAACATGGCAGTAATTAGTCTTATTTGGAAATGAAATCATGATAGTTCTATTTTGAACTAGACAAGCATATTTACTTCTATTTAGGACAATTCCCTCATTATAAAACTCAACTTCCGACTGCTATTTCTCAAACCCTAGAAGTTGCCGCTCATCTCTAGTCTCCCGCCGCCCGCCATTTAGCCGCACGGCCGCCGACCGTCACGCATCAGCACCGCCCACCGTCCTGCGGCACCACCGCTCGACGTCCGGCACCACCATCACTCCACGTCCCACAACACCACCGCTTTCCATTGCGCAACACGATCATTGTATGTCGTCCCACATCCCCACCGTCTGTCGTTCTGCAACGCCACTGTCTGTTGTCCAGCTGCGTTCCAGTCTTCTCCTCTTCTTCATTTCTCCTTCTCCTTCTCATTTTTCTTCTTTTTATGTTTCTTGAAATAATTAGGGTTGACAATATGCCCGAAGAACGGCGTTGGATCACCGTTTCAACAACTTAGATTCTTCATTCAAGGCCGCCGAGGTTGAAGACGAACCCTAGGTTGAAGATGATTCAAGCTAAGACAGTGTGCAGTGAATTCTAGGACAGAGAGTAGTGAACATAGTAAGTAATTTTTATTTAATGCGGTGAATATAATAAGAAATGCAATGATTATATTAAGAAGTGCTATAATTTAGAGCATTAACTGTGGCATAAAGTGCAGTATAGTAAAAACTAAAGTTATCAAACCTAAAAAGAAAAATATATAATTTTCTAACATTTTCGTAATGTCGTGTCATAGCTCTGACATGAAATGCAATAACGCTGACATAAAGTGCATTAGATTAAAAGGAAAATTGTCAAATAAGTCCATGTACTTTTAATAAAAAATCAATTGAGTTCATTTACGTTTTTTCGAGTCAATCAAGTCCGTGAACTATCATAAAATGACCAAACCGACTATTTAATAGGTCGTCAACCGGTTACCCGGTTGACCGCCTACGTGGATGTTGGAGGTGGATTTTTTTAATAATGTTATTCATTTTTTTTAATTTTCTTTCCTTCTCCTTTTTCTTTTTTTCCTCTCTCTTCCTTTTCTAACTTTTTTCTCTTTCTTCTTTCTTCCTCTAGTCCGCTCTTCTCCTATCCCAGGCCAGTCCGCTTCTCCCCTCTTGTTTGTTTCTTTCTCTCATTCTTGTCTCGACCAGAACTCCGGCCACTTTCTTCCATTTTTGTTGCCTCCGCCAGTCCGCCACACTCCCATTGGAACGAATTCCGCCTCCCGGCCTCTTTAGTCATGACTATCTCCGCCGCCCAGCCTCCATAGCCAATGCCTCTGAAATCCGACCTCCACCTCACCTCAACAACCCCTTCCGCCATACACACCGCCTCTGGCCACCACCTCCGTGGCCTCCCCCTTCCCTCCCTTCATTAAAACGACCTCCAGCCGCGCCGGCTTCCATAGCCACCACCTCTGCCGCCCTTACCACCATGCTCACCGCCTCCAGCTTTCACCTCCGCCTCTTTCATTGGAACAACATCCAACCGCACCAGCCTCCATAGCCACCACAACCTCATCCAGACATCCACCATAGATCGGTAGTTGCATAGTAGGAAGATAGAGTTGGAGATGCAAAAGAAATAGAAAAAGAAAAAGGAAATGAAATTAAAAATAAAATAAAAATAGAAAAGACTAAAAATCTCGACGTCTGCGTAGGCGGTTTACCGGATAACCGGGTGACTACCTATTAAATAGTCGATTTAGTCGATTTTTGATAGTTTGGGGACTTAATTGACTCGAAAAATGGTACATGAATTGAATTAACATTTGGTAAAAGTATGTACATAATCCAAAATGGAAATAGTCACATGTGGACTATTTGACAGTTTTCTCTAGATTAAATTATATGTAAAAACTAAACTTATCAAATCTAAAATGGAAAAGAAGAATGATAAATTCCTAACCTTTTCGTAATGTTGTGCAGTAACGCCTTCATGAAGTGCAGTAATGCCTGGATAAAGTGAACTATTTTTAATTGGACGAAAATAATCCAAAATGCACATTTTTAATAAATGCATTTTCATCCCTCAACATTTAGTTATGATGAGTTTTTTTTTGAGTCACACGATGTCTAAAAACAAACGTAATCATATTTAGAGAAACTCAATATATTTTAATCATATCTAGAAAAGATTCCTTAAAGGATATTCACATTAGGTCTTAAACGTTGGGAAAAGATAGATCGTTGTTGTTGATACTAATGTTGTTGTTACTTGTTACTCCCTCCATCCCAAATTGTAAGGTAATTTACGGTTTACGATGTTTGACTGACGATAAAGCAAATTAATTCATGTCAATAATACTCAAATTAGTTTTAGGAAATGAAATTTAAATTTCAGAAACTACATTAAAACCGCTACAAAACCTGCAAAAAAATCAAATTTCATAAACTTTTGATATATTAAGTAAAAGATTAAGAGTGATTTATGTTGACCAATTGAATAGTGAATGTAACTTACAATATGGGACTGAGGAAGTACTATTTTTTATCTTTATTATGGTTGTCATTACAATTATTATGGAGTATTAATCAAAATAATTCATTCATTATTCTATTTGATTATTATTTAATAAAATGTTAATTTTTTATTTAACAATTATTAGTTTGTATTGCACATAAGAAGTGCAATAAAAAGTGCAATTATTTCTCTCCATTACAATTATTATGGAATATTAGTCAAAAAGCATATCTAATGATTACTTTTGAGAACTTGCTTGAAATTTTAAAGTTAATAGCTTACCATTGGAGCATTGCCTTCTTTCCTTGAAAAAGCTAATTAATCAAAATGAGATACTAACTTGAGCAAAGACAATCACTAAATATAACACCATTTATAATAAATTAAAAGCAAGATATTATAACTAACCACCGGAATACATTTTAATTTTGGTGCAAATGCTTATGTGACAAGTCAAGCTACGAGAATAATTATCTAATCACACCAGATGCTCTAAATTGGCTATCCAAGAAGGTTGAGCATAACAAGCTACTAAGAAGCTAACTAAGCTTGATTTATTGGCTAGATTATGTGAAAGGACGCTAAGCAATGTAGTACATAGGATCCGGCAGCTTGAAAGTACGTAACCCGCCATTATCTCCAACCAAATCACTCCACTGGTCTCCGATGTTTCCGATAATTCTGTACCCTTTCTTAACCAACTCTGTCCTCTGCTTCGACTTGTACTCCTCCGATGTCCCCGTCTCGTTAGCTCCCCTACATGGACCACTCGACCCGGTTAATATCGATAATCAGACTGAATGGCTTACACGTCATTCTCACGTCTCGTTTTATTTCTGCACACGCATTTTTTCGGCTTTGAAGTGAAAACCCTTATAAATAAAATATAATTTTTTATTTGTGCAGAAACAAAACCGGGCGTGTAAATGGTGTGTAAGCCATGTCATGTAACTTAGGAAATGTAGATGACGATAATCATGATGTTTTTACTTGGAGTGTAAAAACACCAAATAGAATTGTTAATCATGATGTTTTATTTGCTCATTTCGTCTATTTAAGTCTTGTCTGGTCTATTTAAGTCTAGTATGATCTTATTTGGAACTGAAAACAGTCCAAGTAAAAACATCGTATAGAATTGTTACTTTAAGATGAGCATCTCCCATTTGGTGTAACCAGCGTTCTTGAGATTGGTAACTCTCACTTTCCTGAACTCTTCTTTTGTGCCACTAAGAAACACAGCCTTAATCCCCATAGCGGTCAGAGTTCGATAGAGCCGCACCATTCCGGGCACTCCCGGTGCCTTCCCTTCCCTGATCCATGCATCGAATTTGGAGCTATTATATTTTGTCGCCCTTCAAATAAACCCGAGCATCAATTTTAGGTGGTTGTATAATATAATAATAAACCATGACTCTGTAGCTTAAATAAACATTTTCAATGGAACCAAATGACTTTAGTATATTTCCTCCTGATTTATTTACTTGCAATTTAGAATTCTCACGGAGTGAAATTATAGAGGCAAAGTATTTATTTGGGAGATTTCCCAAAATAGGAGTAAATGATGTTTTGGAATTCCAAAATAGGACTTCTATATTTTTATTCTCGAAATAGGACTAACATGACAATATTTACTGTATCTTATAGTCATGACTGTCAAATAGTTGCAGTACGGTGCATTTCACATGACAATATTTATTATAATTAATTAAAGTATTTTTCAATTATGACATTATTTTTCATACATGACAGTAACAACTCCTATTTCGATAAGAAAAACATAGTAGTTCTATTTTAGAATTCCATACTTCATTTAATCCTATTTAGGGCAATTTTCCTATTTATTTACTACGGAGTAATAACATAGAGTTAGAGTTCTCACGGAGTGAAATAGTATTAAATAAAATCAGACATTTGACCATTTGTGAGAACATTTATGTATTTGTAAATAAAAAAACATGCCAAAATAAAAGTTGTCAAATTTGTTGAAATTTGTGAAAAGTGTTGCTATTAATAAGTATTAATAAGTAAATACAGAGGGACTAATGGACTATGATGGACTGTTTTCACAATTCCATTTCTTTCAATATAGACTTTTATCATTGATACAAACTACATTTTTGAAAAGTTCATATCATTCTTTCAAAAAAAAAGTTCACACCATTCAAATTGGGAAATCCAATGTTTAATATCTAAGACATTTTAATTATATCAATATCCAAATTAGTCATTTGGTTATATTTATATGCATCCATTTGACTAATAGTCATAGAAATTTGAAAGAGAGAAAACAACAATTTTGTAATATATGTTCTTATTTTTTAAACAATTTGGTAATATGTGTTCTTACTTTTTAAATAATGTAATAATTCGAGTGTCTTTACTCATTTCAATTAAATCTGAATGTAGAGTTTTTTCCTAAAATGTTAATAAAATAAATCTTAGCAATAAAATGTAACTAAAGCTATTACAAATAAATCATCTTGATCACTACAATACAAAAATAAATATTGTCACGAGATAAAGTTACTATTATAATCATTAAAGTATAAAATCACATTTTTCTCCATTACATTCATCTTATTCATATATTTTCTAGAAAAGACAGTCATATATTTTTCATCATTTCTAAATTAAATAGTTAGATCAGGTTAATATTTCATATTTACCACAAATGGTTTTCTTTGGAGCTCGTTTTGTGACACGTTAAATGACACAATTTGTGAATTTGTTGAAATTTGTGAAATTATAACTGAAACTACTCAAATGAAATTAGTGAAACATTTTTTTCAGTAAATTTAATCGGGAAAATAATTTTAAAATAATCATTTAAAGTATTACACAAATCACTAAAGAGAAATAGAAAAATAAGTTTTGATTAAATAGTTAGTGATAAGGTTGCGGTATAAGCAGTGGCGGATCTTGCAACCAAATATAGGGTGTTCAAAAGTTTCTATCTATTGCACAATAATGTTGTTTGATCCACCATTTGAGAAATGTAACTTTTCCAACATTAAAATCCCAAAAATAAGGTTAAGAGCAAGATATATTACATAAAAATCAATATATAAATTATTACATATGTTCTATACACACACACACACACATATATATATATATATATATATATATATATATATATATGTGTGTGTGTGTGTGTGTGTGTGTGTGTATGTATATAGGGGAGAGTTCAAATATCAAGAGGTCTTCCCATGCAAAGTGAGAATTAATCTCGTGCGTTCATTTTGAGATCTAATGGCTCAAAATGAGCCAAAAGTGAACTAAATTTGATCAAAAACGTGGTGGCAATTTCGTAAATATAACGAAGTTTTTTCCAACCGCGAAAAAATGCAACAGAAATACGCAAAAATGCAACGCGGTAAATAAAAAGTGCAATTGTTCGCATTTTGCACGGGAGAAACTCTTTTTATTTGATCTCTTCGCTATATATATATGTATGTATTTTTACATTTTATTTTCAAAACTTTGGGTGTTCACACGAACACCCTTGCTAAAAGGGAGTTACCAAGCAGTCCAAAATACTCCCAAACGGGTCAAAGAAGAGAAACAGAATTTATGGTCTGTTTTTTGTAGTCTAGACTGAATAACAAATAATTAGCAAGTAATTGGAAGAATGAACAAATATTGGATGAAAGAAATTTGTAAATCGCGAAACTTAACCCGAAGGCGACGTCGGAGCGAGCATAGTAAGGGAGATTGGAGAGAGTGGTCTCGTCAATGTCGAAAACCCAAATGTCCTTGCCGCCGACGGCTTTGACGGCCACCGTCTTGGCGTACTGGATGGCGGCGACGGTGACGGAGATGCAGTCGTCGCGGTACTGGTGGCCGAGCATGTAGTGGCCGACGTAGTCTTCACATTGGAGGGGGACCATGCTCCAGTCTCGGATGTTGTTGGTCTCCACTCCGAGCCGCCAGCTGTGGCAGTTGAGGCGGCCACTGGCGGCGAGAGGCCGGAGCCGGTGGAATTGGTTGGCGGAGGAATGTGCATGGGATGATTTGGCATATGTGGCTAGAAGGAAGAGCAGGGCGGCGAGCGGTGGTAATGAACACCTCCTCATATTGTAACTTGGGATCATCGATATGTTTCTCCCTACCTCCCCTGCTTTGAGATCTGATTGATGATAGTGGATGGGACGGCATTTCCTCAACTCCTTTTAATAATTAGGGTGATTATTGTCTATTTGTACACAACTCGTCTACATTGTATTGAGATATGTAATAAATATTACTCCCTCCTTTCCTAAATAAACTTCCAACTTTCTTTTTTCGTCCGTTCCAATTAAAACTTCCACTTTCTCTTTTTAGTATAGAATTTGTGGTTCACAACATTTCTTACACATTTCTCTCTCCTCTGCACAACTATCCACCACACAATACCCACTATCTTAAACTTTGTGTCAAACCTATTTGGAAGTTTTAATAGGAACGGAGGTAGTATTATATATGCAATAATACTAGACTAGTATATAATTTACGTGAGTTGGCATGGCCCATGGAAGCCACATGCATAGTTCCTAGCCAAGCATAATTGAATTGGCATACTTCTTGTACTATATATTCATGAGTAGGCTTCATAATAACATGTATGAGTAGTGTGATATTCTCCTATCAATAAGACTTCTAAATTATCAGTATCAATTTTATAGGTTTTCACTTATAAGTTTTCACTTTCCCATATTTTCTTTTATGGCGGCCAGGTTGCCACATGTCGTTTCTTGGATAATTGATTCTGGAGCTACTGAGCATATCACGTGTGATGATATTAATCTTTTTAATATTATCAGTCCTGCATGGGAACCATCAGTTAAAATTCCTAATGGTGAATCCATTCCAGTTCATGTCGTGGGAAGTTTATACTTACCTAATGGGTTCCATCTTGAACGCGTTCTATACATTCCAAAATTCCAATGCAACCTACTTTCAGTTAGTCGCTTAACAAGCGATCTGAACTGTACATTTACATTTTTTCCAGACTCCTGTATTTTACAGGACGTACCCTCTAGGAAGCTGATTGGCGTGGGTAAATTCCGTAATGGTCTCTATTACTTGGAATGTCCAAAAAATGAAGCGGTAGCAATGTCAGTTACCTCTAATTTATGGCATCAACGTTTGGGGCATGCATCTGATGGAAAATTACATCATATTAGTTCTCTCAAGGGATTTCACCGATGCAACAATTTCTGTGATCCTTGCGTCCGAGCTAAGCAGACTAGACTACCTTTTTCTACAAGTGCTATTAAAACAACTCGCTGTTTTGAGATGATACATTGCGACATTTGGGGACCTTATAGGTGTGATTCAATCTCCGGTGCAAGGTATTTTCTATCTATAGTTGATGATTTTACTAGAGGTGTATGGGTTTATTTAATGAAAAATAAATCTATAGTTCCTCAATTTTTAATCCAATTCTGCAACATGGTCAATACCCAATTTGAGCAAAAGGTCAAACGAATACGGACTGATAATGGTGTAGAATTTCAAACCAACATTTTATTTGATTATTATAAACGGAGTGGAATATTGTTGGAAACATCATGTACAGACACGCCACAACAAAATGGAGTTGTTGAGCGTAAGCATAGACATATATTGGAAGTGGCAAGGGCACTACGTTTCCAGTCTGGCTTACCTATTGATTTTTGGGGTGAATGCATATTAACTGTTGTTTATATTATTAATAGACTTCCTTCTCCCATTATTTCAAACAAAAGCCCTTTTGAGATGCTATTTGGGAAGGTACCTAGCTATGATCATTTGCGTGTATTTGGGTGTTTTGTATACGCCCACAACAATAAAAGAAAGGATAAATTTGGCGAAAGGGGGAGTCCTTGTATTTTTATTGGTTACCCATATGGTCAAAAGGCTTATAAGGTGTTCGATTTGGAAAAACATATCGTTTACAGTTCCCGGGATGTCACTTTTTATGAAGAGAAATTTCCATTTAAAACAGTTCTGGACCAGGATCTTGATTTTCCCGTTATTGCAAACAAAGTTTATCATCAAATTTTGAATTATGATGTCCCTAGAGCACACAACCCCAATTGTGTTGATAGCCCTGCTATACGTCCTATTATTGTGCATGGGCAGCCCCCTGTTATTCCCAGTTCTACCTCATGGACAGAAGACAATGGACATGTGGATGCTCCTACTTGTCCGGACATCCCAAGCAGACAAAACTCACCCATAAAGTGGGCTCCGGAATTGATGAACCACGCCAGCAACTCCTCAGTTGTACAGGACGACAGCTCGATGTGCCATCAGCAGCACATACCTGGCAGTAGCCCCACTGGCACTGGAAAGACAAAGGAGCCCTTGAATAATCCTACTAGCTCAGATTGTGAACGTATGGAGACAAATTCACCCTCCAGGCGGCTGCCAAATACATCTGTACACGGCCCATCTTCACCGATTGTAAGTACTGATTGTGATGCTCCTGTACAAAATCCAATCATCGGGGGACCACCTAGCCAATCAATTGTAAATCCATGGATCAAGTCCAATAAAGAATAAAAAAGGAGCGAGAGGATCCGAAAGATTCCAAAACATCTCGAAAATTATGAGATTGACTTGCCCTCCTCGCTTGTTCACTCTGGGCCCACCGTGAATCACCTTCACTCAACAGTATATCCAATGTCCAATTTTATCAGTTATGAGAAATTTTCAAAAACGCATAAAGCATTTCTAGCAGCTATCACTTCACATGATGAGCCTAAATATTTCTCACATGCTGTTCAGGACCCCTTGTGGTGGGAGGCCATGCAAAAAGAAATTTCCGCATTGGAAGAAAACGGCACATGGACTTTGGTTAAATTGCCACCCGGAAAAAAGGTTGTTGATTCTAAATGGGTTTATAAAATTAAGTATAAGCCAAATGGTGAAGTGGGACGTTACAAAACTAGATTGGTAGCTAAGGGTTTCACACAAGTGGAAGGAGTTGACTTTCATGAAACTTTTGCGCCTGTTGCCAAACTTGTCACGGTACGGTGCTTATTGGCCGTAGCAGTAAAAAATAAATGGGCAGTCCACCAGCTAGATGTCAACAATGCGTTCCTTCATGGTGATCTTTATGAAGACGTCTATATGCGGATGTCTCCAGGATTTGCAAAAAAAGACGATACTTACGTTTTGTAAGTTGCAAAAATCTCTATATGGGCTACGACAAGCCTCTCAAAACTGGTATCATAAATTCACTCAGGCCCTCACGAAAATAGGATTTCAACAATCCCACGCAGATCACTCCTTATTTATCTTTGAACAGGGTCCCATCAAAACTTTTGCTCTTATCTATGTTGATGATGTTATCTTAGCTGGAAACAATGTCCCTCACATTGACATGGTGAAAAATCACTTGGATTCCAAATTTAGCATCAAGGATTTGGGCACACTAAAATATTTTCTTGGTATTGAAGTTGCTCGTTCTCCTGAAGGTTTTGTACTCAGTCAACGCAAATATACTCTTGATATTTTGAAAGAGAGTGGTCTTCTTGCTAGCCGCCCTAGTCAATTCCCCATGGATCAAAATTTAAGACTTCGCCCAGATGACGATAGCCCTCTAGTGGATGCTTCATCTTATCGCCGACTAATCGGGCGTCTACTTTACCTTACAGTGACTCGTCCAGGTATTGTTTATTCTGTTAGTCAATTGAGCCAATTTCTCAGCACACCACGACAAACTCACCTCGATGCTGCTATGCGTGTCCTACGCTACTTAAAACAAACACCTGGTCAAGACATATTCTTGTCGTCTGAAAATGACTTCAATCTGAAAGGCTATTGTGACGCAGACTGGGCAGGATGCTCTTTTACTCGTAGATCCAACACTGGTTACTTTATCACTCTTGGGAATTCGCATGTCTCTTGGCGGACTAAGAAACAATCTGTTGTCTCTCGCTCTTCTGCTGAAGCAGAATATCGTGCCATGGCTGTCACGGTTAGTGAAATTCTATGGATCCGGTGGCTTCTTCGAGACCTTATGGCCCCCCCCAAAAGACCCAACACCCTTATATTGTGATAATCAGGCGGCTCGACATATTGCCATCAACCCGGTTATTCATGAACGCACGAAACATGTGGAGATAGACTGTTATTTTGTCCGAGAACGAGTAGCCAGTAATGAAATTCAACCACTTCCTATCTCCACAATCAATCAAGTGGCGGATATATTCACCAAAGCACTTGGTGCAGAACGTTTCCAGTTCCTTCGAAGCAAGTTGGGTGTTCGCAATCTTCACACTCCACCTTGAGGGGGAGTATTGAGATATGTAATAAATATTATTATATATGCAATAATACTAGACTAGTATATAATTTACGTGAGTTGGCATGGCCCATGGAAGCCACATGCATAGTTCCTAGCCAAGCATAATTGAATTGGCATACTTCTTGTACTATATATTCATGCGTAGGCTTCATAATAACATGTATGAGTAGTGTGATATTCTCCTATCAATAAGACTTCTAAATTATAAGTATCAATTTTATCACATTGGCATGCAATTTTATCCTTTTTAAAACAAATTATTCTGTATACACAACTAACTAAAAGAAAGGGGTTTTTACAAAACAAATTGTTCCGTATACATAAGTGGCTCATTGACAAAAAAGTGACCTTCTATTCAATTTTTCAAATATATGACCGAACCGTGAAAATTTCAGGCGCTACAGTAACGACGCTACAGTTACATGGCTGCAGTGACGATTTTACAGTGACACCACCACAGTGACAATTTTACAGTGACAACACCAAAGCGACTCCATTCCACGGTGTATACCACCCGCCAACACGCCACAGTGACACCATCAATGGTGACACCGCCAGCGGTGACACGCCGGCTCCGACCATAGTGACACGTTGAGTCCGGTCACAGTGACACGTTGAGTCCGGTCACAGTGACACGCTGAGTCCGGTCACAGTGACACGCTGAGTCCGGTCACAGTGACACGCCGTCTCCGCTGCTCCTCACAGTCCCTCAGCCCTGTCCCCGACCTTCCCTGCCCTAGCGCCGCCGCTAACTATCGCCCCTAGCCATAACCGTTGACCACTGGCCCACCACTGACTTGACTCCCCAACCCCCCATCACCTCCCCCCGCGCTAGCCCCCAACCCTCTCTGATCCCCCATCCACCTCCCCAACCCCCAGCCCCCCCAGCCCATAGAACCCTCCCTCAACCGCGCCCACGAACGAGATAGCACAACCAGACCAGACAACGGCGCACCACAACCCCATCCAACAACGCCGGACCTCGTCCCCTCAAGCTCTGCCCTAACTTCAGCCTCGCCCCAGCAACCTCTCTACCTGAACCCCATATTCGATCTGAAACTCAGATATGTGAAAATAAGAAGGAAAAAACCAAAATCAATCTGGAATCCCTAATTTGCTGTCAAGAAAGGAGAAGAAAGAGAATAAAGAGCTGGTTGTCGCCGAAGATGGTCGACGAACCTCCGACGAGATGCAACAGAGAGGATAACCGGAGGCTTGGAGCGTCAGAGAGGATGGCACCGACTGTGAGAAGAGAGAAGCACTCGTCGGTCTCATCCTGTGCAGAGATGATGGAGTGCGAAGAGAGAAGAAAGCCTTCTTGTGCGAAGAGAAGCTTGCGTCCTCCGTCTGTGCGAAGATTGACGTGAAGAGAGAGACGGACTTCTAGGGAGAATTGACGGGCTGTAGAGAATGGTAGGTTTTAAACGGATCTCAAGTAACATTATTGTCTAAATTTAAAATGGTCATATTTTTGTACATTAAAACTCTGTAGGCAATATTCATGTCATTGTTTCTAAAAGAAACAAGTATAATTTGTGTATTAATTTTGCGTGCAAATGTAATTTTTCTAAAAAATTGTGTCCTACGTTGGGAAGTGTACTAAAGTTATGCCTAGTTCACCCAATAAACACTAGATAATGAACCTGTGCGTTACACGAGAAAAATCAACTTACATTACTTAAATAAAAAAAGAGATTGAATGAATATTGTATACTACCTTCGGCCCGGGTAACGGTCTCAGTTCAGTTTACGATATTTAAACAGGTCATAAATTTAAGTGATCCTTGTTAATAATAAAATTATTTTTAATAAATAAAATTTATATATTCAAAAATTACATTAAAAGTCAGGAAAATTGCATTTTTAATATTACATAGTTTAAATCGCATTTTATATAATATAAAATACATGGTTGTATTTTATATTATATACATATGTGTAGGACCAAATCATCATTATTTTATAATATGTCTTTATAAAATAATGTATTTTATCAATCTCTTCGCATAATTTGCTATTCATGGTATATCAATCTCTTTTTTATATAAATCAACTCAAATAGTCAATAAATTCTTAATATGTTTTTAAACATAACAAATTCAAATAGTCAATAAATTTTTAATATATTTTTAACGATGGTCGAAAATTGTTCATTGCAAAAAGACAATTTTTTTTGTAGTGGATTGAATTGTATGCCTGTTTTGATTATATTATTATAAAATTGATATACTAAGTTATTGTAGCTCAATTTCAGTAAAAAAGTTATTGTAACTCGATCATTTGTGTCTCATGCATTGGTCAAACATCTCACATTCAAACATCTCCTTTGGTATGCATTGCTTACCATATATAATAAATAACTTAATTTAATGTTATGACTTGAATAATGATTCAATGCGGAAATAGGCAAGAATGATTAGAGAAATCCAACTGTCTACCCAATTCCTTTATATTATATAAAGATTTATCTAC